GGAGGTGGGTGGGGGATGGGCTAAATGGGTGATGGGCATTAAGGAGGGCACTTGTGATGAGCACTGGGTGTTATATGTAAGTGATGAATTACTAAATTGTACTCCTGAAACCAATATTACACTATATCTTAACTAGAATGTAAATAAAAACTTGAAAAAGAAAAAAATATATTTATATATATAATATATCCATACTGGCATATTACTCAGCAGTAAAAAAAGAATTAAAAAAAGAATGAAATCTTGCCATTTGCAATAACATGGAATATAGAGGGCATAATGGTAAGTGAAATGTCAGCTAGAGAAAGACAAATACCAATGATTTCATTCATATGTGGAATTTAAGAAACAAAACAAACACACAAAGAAGTATGGAGATGAAAAAACAGACTCTTGGGCCGCCTGGGTGGCTCAGTCGTTAAGCGTCTGCCTTTGGCTCAGGTCATGATCCCAGGGTCCTGGGATCGAGCCCCACATCAGGCTCCCTGCTCGGCGGGAAGCCTGCTTCTCCCTCTACCACTCCCCCTGCTTGTGTTCCCTCTCTCGATGTGTCTCTCTCTGTCAAAAAAATAAATAAAATCTTTAAAAAAAAACCCCAAAACCCCAGACTCTTAAATATATAGAACGAAATGGTGGTTACCAGAGGGGAGGTAGGTGATGGGGATTAAGAGTACAGTTATTGTGATAATAAGAGGTGCCTCCTTCCTTTTGATTTTCTTAGTAACATTTTCTTTTCTCTAGCTTAATTTATTATAAGAATGTAGTATATAGGGACGCCTGGGTGGCTCAGTCAGTTAAGCATCAGCCTTCGGCTCAGGTTATGATGCCAGAGTCCTGGGATTGAGTCCTGCATTGGGCTCCTTGCTCAGCGGGGAGCCTGCTCCCTCTGCCTGCCTCTCTCTCTCTCAAAAAATAAATAAAATTTAAAAAAACTTAAAAAAAAGAATGCAGTATATAATACATGCAACACAAAATCTGTGTTAATCACTGTTTATGATATTGGTAAGGCTTCTTTCTGGTCAACGGTAGGCTATTAGTAGTTAAGTTTTGAGGTAATCAAAAGTTATTATGTGTATTTTTGACTGCAAGGGGTTGGAGGGTTTAGCACCCCTAATTTCCACGTTGTTCAAGGGTCAATATATAGATGTTGTATATATTGTTGTTGTGTATAGAAACCAATGAAAAGAAACTAAACTCTTTATAAGGAGGAGTTTAGAGTGAATGTTTCTCAGTTGTCCTGGCTCTAAATTCAGCTAATCCCACATCTAATCATACATGTTTTCGTTAGCCAACTCTGGATTTGGGTGGGTTTTGCCCACTGTGTAGCCCAGTTACTAGCCCAAATCTAGACCCGACATAGTGACCCTTGAAACTTCAGGCTGCACTGTTCTTAACTTTGCACCTACCACTCTAAAGGTCTATGTCCAATCCTGCTCTCAGGTACATTACAGGTGAAAAGTACTTTTCTTTCTGAACCACAAAACCCAAAAACCATATTCACTTAGGCCAGCTGAACTGATATAGTGGCAACTATTTTGGTGGAGATTTAAAAAATTCCTATAAAATTCTACTGTCCCAAAACAAAACAAAATTCTACTTTCCAAATTATGTTTTCACCCTGTCTAAATAAGCTACAGTCTACACCTGCTAATACTTTCAGTAGGAACACCTAGGTTTCACCTCTATTAGTTTTTTCTTTTTTTTAATTTTAATATCTTTTTATTTTAACCATCCAAGATATTATTATTGCTGTTTTATATAGTTTTTTATTTAATTATTAACGTATAATGTATTATTTGTTTCAGGGGTACACGTCTGTGATTCATCAGTCTATTAGTTTATTCTTTTTTTAAGATTTTATTTATTTATTTGATAGAGACACAGCGAGAGAGGGAACACAAGCATGGGGAGTGGGAGAGGGAGAAGCAGGCTTCTCGTGGAGCAGGGAGCCTGATGTGGGGCTTGATCCCAGGACCCTGGAATCATGACCTGAGCCGAAGGCAGACGCTTAATGGCTGGGCCACCCAGGTGCCCCATTAGTTTATTCTTGACTGCTTTATTGCAGCCACGTGGGCTGGGGCACCTGCTTTCATCTTCAGGCATTTGCCTGGAGCTGTCTTGGATCTGCTATTCTTTTTTCACCACCCAAAAGGATATGAAAATATTCATTTCAAGATGGCTAGACATTCATAAGCTTTCCTCCAAATTCCTCTTCTCAGCTGACCGGCAGTAAGCTTGGCTTATACATTGGCACTATTCCTATCCAGTGGCTCAGGTCAGAATTTTTAGCTTAAAACTCTTACCAGCTCAGTAATTTCCAAGAGAATCACTTAATCATATATTTTAATATACTTTCTATAGAGGAGTATTTAATCATTAAGTATTCCCTTAGGAATAGAGGATTAGGGTAGAGGGAGGTAATCTGAATAATAGAAGAGCTATTGAAATAAGATGCTAGGGTTGTTAAAAAACTCTAAAGGGGCTTTAAAAAAAAAAAAGCTTTTCTCAGTGTTGTTTCAATACTCTATGGGAGATTCCAAAATTCCAGGTAGCAATTGGACCAAGTGGGTATTTAATATATATTTGCTAAAGAACTACATTTATTATTTAAAAGATTATCAATTATAAATGAAAACAAATATACCAAATTTTATTCTAAATAGCCCCTTTAAAAAAATGAACATCTCTGAACTTGAGAGGCATCTTACCCTCACTGGCATACGATAGCTTAATTGGTAGTGTTTTTTATATTTCTTCATAGTAACAAAATAGTGATGTGTCATTCAGTTAATGAGTTCTTAGATTAGATGAAATAAATTATACATAATCATAGGTTTAATAAAAATCCTGTAATCTTAAAAGTGCAAAATATGGAAGAATTAGGTATTATCCATAATCTACGATGATGAAGTAATACAGTGTAACAATTACAGAGGCCCACTTTCACTAACTGGTAAGAAACTAAAAAGCTTGCTTTAAAGCACAAAATATTCATGTCTTCATCTTGATTTGATAAATTTTACAAAAAAAAAGTAACTTTTCCTTGAACAAACATTTAACCATACCCCTATGGTACTACTCTTCCAATGGTTGAAAAATGGAGTTCTATAGAAGCAGTGGGTTAGGAAAAAATGTGAGTCTTCAGAATCCATGTGCAAGAGGGTAATGGAAGAATGACCTATAGCTCTCACTTTGAAGTCTAGTAGGGACACAGTTCCCATTCTAAGGGTCGTGGAATGGACAGATTAGAGGAAAGGCTGAGTTTTCTTTGCAATAGATGCTGAAATCACGGTACACCTCAAAGTACACGGTTGACCCAAGAAATCACTTGCTCATAACAACATGGATTCAAAAAAGTCAGTAGGCCTTGTAATGCATTGCCTAAGGGAAGGTTTGAGGGTAAGTCCTAAGGCTTTTAAATCAAAGAACTAGATCTAAGTGGCTAAAAACTAATTTGGCACAAGGTAAGCTTGGCAACAAAAACATCGGTCATTTTTTGTAAAGTCAGTAATTTATGGCTGCACGAGGGTATAGGTTTTAAAATATTTTGGTTCGTTCTTGTCAGAATTTTTATCACTTTTACCTGACTTTTTCTCATTTTAATTTTTAATTCAGCTTCAGCTCATTATTACTATTCTGGACAATTTATAACAGAGAACAGTATCCCGCAATACAAGGCTGAGGTAAAGCACACTAAGTATCCAAAAATTTGTGGATTTCTTAGGTAAATTATGGTAAGTTACAAAGATTATCACCTCATTTTTGGTGAAAAAGGATATTATGAGAGCCTAATCTTCATCTACTACATTAAGATGTCAGTATGTATGTAATCTTATAACTAATTGATCAGAAGAGCATGATCTGCCTAATACGAGGTAATTACCAGAAAAAATAGCTAAGAGTTTAAACTGGCTGCCTGTGGGTAATGGGGCTTTAGGGGCAAGGAAGGAGGGAGAGGGAGGAAAGAGAGGGGCAAGGAGCTGCTGGTTTTTGTTAGAGGACTTTCCCACTGGCCTTTAAAACCATTTAATATTTAATAACATAAAAAATAATTTTAAAAGGGAAAGAAATTTTAAAAGCTTAAAATTTTGTTTAAAATCTGAAAAATGGGGGCACTTGGGTGGCTCAGTCGGTTAAGCGTCTGCCTTCAGCTTGGGTCGTGATCCCAGGGTCCTGGGATCGAGCCCCACGTCGGGCTCCCTGCTCAGCAGGGAGTCTGCTTCTTTCTCTCCCTCTTCCTCTCCTCCTTGCTCTTGCTCTCTCTATCTCTCTCAAATAAATAAATAAATAAAATTTTAAAAAAATAAATAAAATCTGAAAAATGATAGAAGTATTTAAAATCACAGTAAGGGCTGCAAAACTACCTCAGAGTATACCAAAATTACCAATATTCAAAATAACAGCATTAATGCAACACGAAACAGTGGATCTAGTGGTCAGTCTGTAAGAGGACAGAAGCTCCATTGCAGGTGCATGTCCAGGACTGTTTTCGTGTTTGTTTTTAGGCTGGGGCACCTCTGGTTGCTCACCGCTGTCCAGTATACCTGGGCAGCTTCTCTGAATAGGTCCACTGAGTGTCTGCATCCTTTAAGAGAGGTGCCTTTTCCAAACAGAAGTGGAATATGAACACATTGGGGACTGCAGACCCACGACTCCAGTGTCACCTTTTAAAGGGTTTGTGCAAGAAACAAGACACTAACATAAAACTATTTTCTTCTCAATGTTGAATAGTTTTTTGTTTTTTTTTTTTAAGATTTTATTTATTTGACAGAGAGAGACACAGCAAGAGAGGGAACACAAGCAGGGGGAGTGGGAGAGGGAGAAGCGGGCTTCCCGTCAGCAGGGAGCCCGATGCCAGGCTCAATCCCAGGACCCTGGGATCATGACCTGAGCCGAAAGCAGACGCTTAACGACTGAACCACCCAGGTACCCTCAATGTTGAATAGTTTTATAAGACGTAAAAACAGGTCCAAAGTACAAAAGCAAACAGACTTGATTACCTGTGGGGATATGGACAAGTCTGACAGCGCTATCAGTTGTATTAACATGCTGCCCTCCTGCTCCTTTGGCTCGAAATGTATCTATTCGCAAATCCTTGGGGTCCACCTTCACATCTACCTAGAACAAAAGGGACAATGGAAGTCAATTCTACACTCAACAAACACTTTTTTTTTTTTTTAAAGATTTTTATAATTTATTTGTCAGAGAGAGAGAGCACAAGCAGGGGGAGTGGCAGGCAGAGGGAGAAGCAGGCTCCCCGCTGAGCAGGGAGCGGTGTGGGATGCGATTCCAGGACCCTGGGATCATGACCTGAGCCGAAGGCAGACGCTTAACTGACTGAGCCACCCAGGCGTCCCAACAAATACTTCAATACTAAATTTATTTCAAGATTTTTCGAATAAACTGTGCTGTTTTGTTCTAAGTCATAGCCATTAGACTAAGAAATAGCTTCTACCAATGAAAGAACCGTAAACTCCCTATTCCAATGGATGCTATTTTTTGATGCTATAAGATCATTGAGTTATGCAATCTTTCAAGTTTCATCATCCATCATCCCACAAAGCCGCAGGATAGAAAATATACTCTCTCTCTATATATATATGTATATGTGTATGTGTGTGTGTGTGTATAATGTATACATTATTCCCCAATTCTGTATTTGCAAATTCACCTACTTTATTTGTTCCTCAAAATCAATTATCGCAGCATTTTCACAATTACTAGCAAACAGGTGCAGGGCAGCAAAAAATCCAAGATGCACATTCCCAGCTGACGTCCAACAAGGTGACAGTTTGCTTTCTTTTTTCAGTCTGATCAGAGAATGAAGACAAGAGGGGGCAGAGCAGCATAGTACAAGAAGCTCTGGCTCTTGCGTCAGCTGGATGGGGTGTGAACCCTAGTTCTGGCATCTGGTAGTGAAGTGGCCTCAGGTAAGTCACCTAAACACTTCTGAACCTCATTTTCTCTTTGTAAAATAAAGAAAATAGAATCTATTCTAAGTAACTAGGATGGGTTACTTTTTTTGGTTTTTAAATTTTATTTATTTATTTGGATAGGTCACTTTTAAGATCTACCTGCAATACATAGATACAGAAATATATATAGGTATATAAACATATGTATACCTGAGTGTGCACGCACACACACACACACACATATTTCCCCTAGGGGAAATGATAGTTCAGTATTTGCTAAATCAGTGTTCGCTGAGTCTTTACAGAACATAACCACTGTGAACAATGAGAACCGACTATTAGTGGGACTGAATGGAGGCATCCAAAAAGATATGTTCACATTCTAACTACTAGAACATTATTTGGAAAAAGAGTTGTTACAGCTGTAATTGAGTTCAGATGAGATCATCCTGGATTATTCACATAGGCCCTAAATCCAATGAGAAGTGTCCTCAGACAGCCAGAGGAGAGATAAGAGGAGATGAACATGTGCATTCAGAGTTATATAGCTTCAAGCCAACAGACACCTGGAGACACCAGAAACTGGGAGAGTCAAGGGAGCATTCCCCACCAGAAGCTTTGGAGGGAGCACAGCCCTGGCGATACCTTGAATTTGGACTCCTGGCCTCTAGAACTGTGAGACAATAAATTTTTACTGTTTTAAGCCCCTATGTTTGTGGCAATTTGTTACACACACACACACACACACGCACCCCCCCACACACACACGGTTACAAAATACACTGTTTTTCAGGGGAGAACTAACATCTTATTTCACATTTATCATTCATTCCTATGAATGACAGATAGCAAGTGTGACTCTTCTCTTTGTAAAGCACAGTAATAACAGGGTCAGCTTTAGAATCCAATATACAACGTGGTTATTCTTTTGTTTCCTCTAAAATGAGCACTATACTGTGAAGAAAAAGATTATGCAGCTTTTGTTAAAATATGCCAGTGTCGGCTACCTTAAAATTTCAATAGACACTAAAGAGATCAAGAGCAATTTCCCATTTTTTGTGGTTTCAGTATATTAAAGTTATATAGCAAATATATGTATATTATATGTCACATTCTCCCAAATGTTATCGAAACTATCTAATGACTGTTGGGAAATTCTCAACAAAGAAACAGTGACTTAATAATATAAAATAATTTTAAATGTCAATTAACAGAATGATAAGACTTTGCTCTTTTATGAAAATCAAACTCCACCACATGGGTTTAATTTTCAAGAACATGAAGAGAATAAGGGGATGGGTGAGAACAGTGGAAGGAATAAAGAGGGAAGCAAGACAACCCAATAGCTTTGATTTCTGAGTGACATAAATGTTTCCATACACCAAAAATGAAATTAGATAAAAGAAGAAGGAAAATTCAAATCCTAATATTCAATAGGAAAAGAAAACCTATGAATCAAAATATTTACCATAATGATATCATAATCACATAGAAAAACACTATTTCAGATGGTCTTTGAACATCGTGTTCTGACTATGCTTTCTTGGTGGACTACATTCTAAGTATAGAAATCAATCTTAAACATTACCCAGTAGTTTACTAAGTAATTTTATTTAATTTAATTTTTTTTTTACTAAGTAATTTTAAAACAGATTATTTATTTATATATGCTATATAATAAGGAAAAAAGTAAATATATTAATATGATTAAGAAATAAAATTTTGGGGGCGCCTGGGTGGCTCAGTCGTTACGCGTCTGCCTTTGGCTCAGGTTGTGGTCCCAGGGTCCTGGGATCGAGCCCCGCATCGGGCTCCCTGCCCGGCGGGGAGCCTGCTTCTCCCTCTCCCACTCCCCCTGCTTGTGTTCCCTCTCTCACTGTGTCTCCCTCTGTCAAATAAATAAATGAAATCTTTGAAAAAAAAAGAAGAAAAAAAAAAGAAATAAAATTTTTACTCTAAGTGGAAAGAGATATAAATACAAAATGCAAGATGGTGAGGGGGGAAAAACTTCCCATAATGTTAAATTTGAGTTGGTAATCATAATTTGAACCAGTGATTTAAAATGATATGTATCTCATAGGGGCGCCTGGGTGGCTCAGTTGGTTAAGCGACTGCCTTCAGCTCAGGTCATGATCCCAGGGTCCTGGGATCGAGTCCCACATCGGGCTCCCGGCTCAGCGGGGAGCCTGCTTCTCCTTCTGACCCTCTCCCCTCTCATGCTGTTTCTCTCCTGCTCACTCTCTAATAAATAAATAAATAAATAATCTTTAAAAAAATAATAAAATAAAATAAAATGATATGTATCTCCTAGCTCTGTCCACTGAAGAATCTAAATATAAGCACACTTTAGTAATAATGAGCACACCTAGGACATAGATCTTGATTTTTGGGTACATTTCTCACCAAAAGAAATGAGATCTGACTCCAAGTCTGAGGCACAAAAGCAGAAGGTGGGCTTAGGATATCTAATTATACCAGAAAGCAAGGATGTGCTCAAAAATTGATGGGGTCATTGTAAAAGGGACTGCCCTCAAAAGGCTACTACTGGCCAAATCAGGGACAAGGTTGAACATCAAAAACAGTAGTGATTCTAACTCACAGAATTTAAAAAACAAATGTGTAAGTCTATAATGAAGTCAACAGATGGAACAATACTGAGTTTATGATGAGGTAAAATAAAAGAGAAAGCAAGCAAGAAGGAAGGAGGAGAGAAGGTAGTAGGGACGAAAGTTCTTGACAGAAAAGAATGCCAGTTAATAAACATAGAAGAAATGACAGAGTTACAAAATCACCATCTTCCACCCCCAACGAAATAACTGATTCAGGCAAAAAAGATCACTAATGGATGTTCAGATCGTGGAAACAGGTTATATGTGGAAACAGGCTATATGTACCCTCGGGATTACACAGTAACTGCAAAGACAAAAATATACTTTTACAATGGAGACAGTTTTTTGGTCACCATGTTTAAACTAATCTTCACTAAATCTGATATTATGTGCCTTCTGATAAATGCAACTTGAATATGACTACACCTATAAGTATTCTTGCTCAAAATGTGTGACCTGAATGCGATACAGGAACAAGTTAAAGAGTACCAGGAGGAAACAAATGAATCCAAAATGCGGGATACCTTACAAGACAAAGGCTCCAGACTCTTCAAATAATTAATGTCATTAAAAAAAAAAGGTTGAGGGGCACCTGGGTGGCTCTGCCAGTTGAGCATCCAACTCCTGATTTTGGCTCAGGTCATGATCTCAGGGTCATGGGAGCGAGCCCTGCATCAGGCTCCACGCTCAGTGGGGAGTCTGAGTTCTATAATCCAGCTTTAGTAAATTATTGAGCCCAAGGACGGGGTTGTGGAAACCTCTCAATTCATAGCCACTTGGTCGGAAACAGAGGTGAGAACCTGGACTTGTGACTGGCCTCTGAAGTGGGAGGGGAGGAAGTCTTGTGAGGCCCAGCTCTTAGCCTGTGGGGTCTGATGCTATTCACCAGTAGATGGTGTCTGATTTGAGTTGAATTGTAGGACACCTACTTGGTGTCCACACACAACTGAAGAACTTGCTTGGTGAGAGAAAAAACTTGACATATTTAGAGTGGAGAAGTATTCTGTGAGTAGACAGAAGCACAGGAGTTTTTCCCAGACAATAATATTACAGACTTATGGTTGATTTTCACAGATAATGGTGTTTTTTTCCAAATAATTTTTCAATCTTATTATTGATATTATAACAAAGGTCTCCAACCTATTCGTTCCTGGGAATAAGCGCATTTAAATCCTATAGAAAAATTATGGGGTTGGGGCACTTGGGTGGCTCAGTTGGCTAAGTGTCCAACTCTTGATTTCGGCTCAGGTCATGATCTCAGCATTGTGAGATCAAGCCTCACGTTGGGTTCTGCACTGGGTATAGAGTCTGCTTAAGATTCTCTCTCTCTCCCTCTCCCTCTGCTCTTACCCACCCCCTAAAAAAAAAAAGAAAAATTATGGGGTTGGAGGTATTATACCCATTTTACTTATTTATTTTTTTTAAAGTTTAAGTTCCAGTTAAGATATAATGTAGTATTAGTTTCAGTAGAATTTTGTGATTTATCACTTTCATACAACACCCACTGCTCATCATACAAGTGCCCTCCTTAATGCTCATCACCCACTTAGCCCACTCCCCATCCACCTCCCCTCCAGCAACCCTCAGTTTGTTCTCTGTAGTTAATAGTCTCTTTTAAAGAATGGTTTGTCTCTCTCTCTCTTTCTCGCTATGTTCATGTTTTGTTTCTTAAGTTCTACATATGAGTGAAATCATATGGTATTTGTCTTTCTCTGACTGACTTCTTTCACTTAGCATAATACTCTCTAGTTCCATCTATGTCGTTGCAAATGGCAAGATTTCATTCTTTTTGATGGCTGAGTAATATTCCATTGTGTATATACACCATGACTTCTTTACCTGTTCATCAGTTGATGGACAGATAATGGTATTGTTTAGGTAGAAGAATGTCCTATTCTTAGGAGATGTGAAGTTGAAGATTTGAGGGATAAAGTCTCACAGTGTCTGCTATAGTCTTTAGTTATTTAAACAAACGTATACATACACACACATATAGGAATCCAGCAAATGTGGCAAAATGTAAACAGCTGTTGACTCCAGGTGGAAGTTATATAAGTTTTTAGTGTGGTATTCTATTTTCTGTATGTTTAAAATAAAATTTTAAAAAGTTAGGAAAAAAAATATAGGCAATATGGCTGTATTCAATAAGATATAGACCCCATACAGATATTCTATCATTGACCCCAACATATTATCTGTGGAAATCATATTTTTCTTAAGATAAAACTTAAGCAACAACATTTTAAAAGCTTTGTGAATTCTATTTTATGAAGAGAATAGATTTCTATTTAAACAAACAAAATAAAATATCTTGGTCAGGCATAAGAAGGGCAACTTTACCTGCGGAAGAGTTAAGAACTTCCTAGTAGAGGGGAAAGGGCACAGGGTTTGAAACATGGCAGACAACGTGGACCAGCAACAAACTACCAACACTGTAGAAGAGCCCCTGGATCTCATCAGCCTCAGCCTGGATGAGCGAATTTATGTGAAAATGAGAAATGACAGAGAGCTTTGAGGCAGATTACATGCTTATGATCAGCATTTAAATATATTGGGAGATGTGGGGGCTCCTGGGTGGCTCAGTTGGTTAAGCGACTGCCTTCGGCTCAGGTCATGATCCTGGAGTCCTGGGATCGAGTCCCACATCGGGCTCCCTGCTCAGCGGGGAGTCTGCTTCTCCCTCTGACCCTCCCCCCCTCATGCTCTCTCTATCTCATTCTCTCTCAAATGAATAAATAAAATCTTTAAAAATATATATATATATTGGGAGATGTGGAAGAAACTGTGACTACTATAGAAATTGATGAGAACCTGAATACAGCCATATTGCCTATATTTTTATACGAAGAGATATATAAATCAACAAAACGGAATATTCCAATGCTTTTTGTCCAGGGAGATGGTGTTGTACTAGTTGCCCCTCCATTAAGAGTTGGCTGAAACAAAGAATTTATCATGTATGGAATATAGGAGCTTTTGTATAATTGCCTCTTTAAATGTAGAAGACATTCAAAAGAGAAACCTGCGTAAATTCTGATATTAAGAAATGACCAAGGATTCTTCCACTCCTGAAATGAGTTGATTTGCGGATAACTCAAAATTTCTTAAGCTAAAGGGCATTTTAATTTTTTCCCAACCCTTTCAATAAATGTGATCACCAAGATGCAGAACTCTTTTTTTCAGGAATTGATTTGTTCTGTTGTTTTCTCAGACAATTTCTGATTTTTTCCCTTTAAATTAAATTTGATGTTTCCTTTTTTGAAAAAAAAAAAAAAGAATTTCCTAGTAGAGACTGCGAAGTTCAATGGGGAACCCCGAAAATCAGTAAATCAGTTTGCTAGAAGCTAAGCTTTCTGAGCACAACCCCCATTAAGTCAGAGTAAGTTTTCAATGCCTCCGGGTGAGGTTACCTCATCTGGTTGAGGGAGGACAATAACGGACATGGTTCCTGTGTGAATGCGCTGCATCCTTGACGACAGGCCCACTTCAGGGATTCGCTGAACTCGGTGAATCCCACCTTCATACTTCAGATGCTTATAGACACTGTCACCAGAAATTCGGGCAGCTGCGTGATGCAGCCCACCTAGAACATAAAATCCTAAAATGTTAATGAACTAATTTGAAAGGGATCTGGATTTTAAATACCTTTAATCTTAGGCCTAAATGCAAGTATAGAGCCAAAGATGAGAACATAAAGTAGGTACAAAACTGTATTTTCCCAATGTCAATATATTCATATATAAAAGGAAATATACCAAAACATTATTTATGCTTATTTCTGGGGAACAGAACAGTGTATTTTTTATTTTATTTTTTATACTTTTTTTGTTTCTAAATTTTCTGTAAACAAATTTTTTTTTTTTAATAAAAAAAACTACTAGAAGAAAAATACTGGGACAGTTTCTGTATTGAACTGCCCTCTGTAATCTTAGGCTGATATGGTGCCTATATAAAAGAATGCTCAATAATGTAACAAGTTAATAATGATGGATAACTCTGTAAGTCCTCCCAAGTTTTCAAGAATCTATTGAAATTTACTCTTGCTTATCTGTGGAGTGTGAAGATAAGCCCCCCAAAATCTTAATGCCTAGGCTAGTCTCTTATTGGACATATTTTTTTAAAAAACGTTTTATTATAAAATAACATACAGACACAAAAAAACCCACATGAATCAAATGGTTTAATGACCACAAGATCAAGAAAAAGAACTTTGCCAGTCACCCAAAAGCTCTCCCATATGCCCCTTCCCAGTTATAATCCTCTCCCTTTCTCACAAGTAACTATGATCCTTTTATTCCTTTGTTAAAATTTTATTACCTAAATCTGCTACAGTTTAGTTTTGTCCATTTAAAAAAGTTTGACGTCCTCTTTTTTTAAGTTTATTTACTTATTTATTTTAAGTAATCTCTACATCCAATGTGGGGCTCGAACTCATGACCCCAATATCAAAAGTCACATGAACTTCCAACTGAGTCAGCCAGGTGCCCCCTAAAGTCTGATGTCTTTTAAATCTCTTTATCTTTACGTTCATCACCCATTTCTTTTGTTGCCTGCAAATCATCTCTTGAGGAACATGGATGTTGACCTGTAAAATTTCCTACAGTATGAATTTGCTGACTGCATACTCCTGGTGCAATTAATTGAACCTGTTCTTCTGCCCTCTGTACTGGCTACAATTTGGCAGATGGATCCAGAGACTAGATCAGACACCAGCTTGAGCTCCTTGGCAAGGCTACAGGAGGCACATAATGACTGTTTTCTTTCTTTTTATAGTCTTGGCAGTCTTTGATGTTTAATGTATCATGGGTTATAAAATAGTAATAGTCTAATTCTGTAATTTCTTTGTCACGTATTATTAGCTAAAATACATTTATAAAGAGACATTTCCCCTTGTCTACTAGTTGATTACCCTGTGCTAGAGTTACACAGGAAAGGCAGGATAAATGTTTGATTCTGTTCCTTTACCCGTTTTATCAATATACGTATTTTATAATATAATGAATTAGGGTTATTTAATCATCTGAAGATGACTAATTATTTTTAAAATATCATTATAAATTCAAAGATTTGAATGCATCTAGCATGTTTAAACCAATTGCAATTATTATGATTGAAGCTCAACTTATCCATCTTTGGCTACAGCAGGCGCCTCTTCAAGTTAATTTCTGAGTTCTTTTTGACACGCCTCTTGTTACGGTATAACAAAATATTCCAGGATTATCCTGAACTTTTCTTGCCCCAGACCTGAAATCAGTGATCTCTCCAAGAAGTCTTGGTTCCTTTCAGAGAGAAATAATAGTTCAATTTTTTGCCCCTCCCCCACTCACGTGCTCTATTTCATTAAAATAAACACATCTTAAAAAATAAAAATTCAAGATCCCTAAGCTCAGAGTTCCTCTCATATAATGAAACCTACTGCATAGGCAGGTATTGTCTGGCTTTTGAGTTGCCTTGTAGGACCTGGGGCTCATGCAACCAGCAGAAAAATGCTGATATTCTGGTTACTGTTTCTATGAGGAATAAACTGTCCTCCACCTCTGACCCATGAAACTGTGGCATGCTAACTTGTTAGCTTGTAGGCAGGGTAAAATCTCAAACCATTTGCAGTTCTGGACAATTGATACTTCCGGTATAAATTCAAGATGACGGCTTCTTCTCTATCACCCTTGTCTTCTATACCAAGAATCTTGGTTCTCAGCGACAGGCAAGATACTACAATTAGAATATCTCGTAACTACTCATCTACTTTACCCGTAGTACACATACAAAAGTCTCCGAATAACAATACGAGTTCTGCCACAATATGATCACTAAAAACATTAAAACTTTTTTACATATGCTTTTCCTGTTCTTCCCCCGTTTTTCAAATGGCTGTACTCTATACTGTCGAGCTTATAGTTGTTACATACTGTATTCTTCCCTCTTACTACCTCGTTCTACAGGTAGCCACATATTTCATGCTTTCCCCTACTCCTTATGTCAGTACTTCATATTTTAGCTGTCTAACATCCTGTTTTCCAGTAGATTCCTCAGAAAGGGACCATGGGAAAAGTGTGTCCTGAATTCTTGCATATTGGTAAGTTTGTACCCTTGTACTCATAAGTCAGTTTTGCTGCTTATAAAACCCTTAACTCAGATTTCCTTTCCTTGAGTTAACTATGCTGCTACTACCGCGGCCATGTTCCTAATGTGCTTCTAATGAAGACTCAGTGCTGTGATGTCAGAGCTAACCCACTTGGTTTCTAAAGTCAGCATGGTGGGGCCCTGGGGGCTCAGTCGGTGCAGTGTCTGACTCTTGGTTTCGACGCAGGTCGTGATCTCATAGGTCATGAGATCGAGCTCTGCTTCGGGCCCTGAGCTCAGCAGGGAGTCTGCTTCTCTCCCTCTCCTCTGCCCCGCCTCCCACTCACCCACACTTGCTCTCTCTTCCTTTCTCGAATAAATCAATCTTTGAGGAAAAAAAATAAAGTCAGCATGGTGGATAAAAATTGGGCATAGTTTTATTTTATTTTTTTAAAGATTTTATTTATTTGACAGAGACAGACACAGCGAGAGAGGGAACACAAGCAGGGGGAGTGGGAGAGGGAGGAGCAGGCTCCCCTCTGACCAGGGCACCTGATGTGGGGCTCAATCCCAGGACCCTGGGATCATGACCTGAGCCTAAGGCAGATGCTTAACGACTGAGCCACCCAGGCACCCCTGGGCATAGTTTTAAATTACCCTAGAAAATACCTTAGATAAGTACCTTATCAGAGATTGACCTACTGTCTCTTAAAAAGTCCAACCCATGGACGCCTGGGTGGCTCAGTCGGTTAAGCGTCTGCCTTCGGCTCAGGTCATGATCCCAGGGTCCTGGGATTGAGCCCCACATTGGGCTCCCTGCTCAGTGGGGCGCCTGCTTCTTCCTCTCTCTCTGCAGCTCCCCCTGCTTGTGCTCTCTCCTCTGTCAAATAAATGGAATCTTTAAAAAAAAATAAGTCCAACACAGCTGGTCTTCCTCCAGTGGTGGAACAGATTACTGTTTATCTTCTTGAATACCAGATAAAGAAGCTGACAAGCATTTAGGGTCAGACGACGTGAAAAATGTAATTGTTTACCATTCATACTCAGTATAGTAAGATGGGTCAATTATGAAAAATACCCAGAAACTGAGACAGAGTGAGGCGAACAACAATTAAAATTTTCCATCTCGCAATCATTCTGTACTTTTAAAATGATTCCCCTCACCCCCTTTACCGACTTCATGCGGAGGATGCATATTTGAATTTATATGACCTGAAAGGAGAAGGCTGCAGCTTTACTGTAGAGATTACTAGAGCCAATCTTAGGCTGCCTGGGTTCAAATTTAAGCTCTTCTTCCTAGTTGTGTATCCACAGGCAAGTTACTTCATTTGTTCATGCCTTGGTTTCCTTTTCTGTAAATGGGAATCCTAACTAGGGCTACAGCACTGCACATCTGAATGAAAAGCCATTCATACTGCAGATCATGTGAGTAGGGCTTCAAGGCACGTGTAAGCACACGACACAGCCCTGAATTCAACCTCCATTCCTCCAAGGGTTGTTGGGAGGAATGACTGAGATAAACAAACACTCGTATTTAGCAGTGTTGACATTTACCATCAGTAGGTATCAGTAGTAACTGGAACTATATCATTGGCTCTCCTGGACCAGCTCGATATCCTGTGGAAGAGGATGACGATCAAGATCCCTGTAAATTAGGGCGCCTGGGTGGCTCAGTTGGTTAAGCGACTGCCTTCGGCTCAGGTCATGATCCTGGAGTCCCTGGATCGAGTCCCGCATCGGGCTCCTTGCTCAGCGAGGAGTCCGCTTCTCCCTCTGACCTTCCTCCTTCTCATGCTCTCTCTCTCTCTCACATTCTCTCTCTCAAATAAATAAATAAAATCTTAAAAAAAAAAAAAAAAGATCCCTGTAAATTAAATTACGATGTACGGCAGGAGAGCTGATAGACCTCTGAGGTAGAGGACAGTGAGGTGCACTGCTGGCCTTCCTAGCTGAAAGAAAGCTGCCTATGGTGGTCCTCACTGACAGGTACGGAGAAAAAAAGCATTTGTCAGATCAAGAGCTGCATACCAGGTGCCAGGGGGTGTGAATTGCTCAAGCAATGAAACCACATCTGGTACAGCAGCTGTACCAGTTGAATGGGGATGTGGTAGGAATCACTAACTTTGCATCTTTCAAGTCCTCGATGGTGGCATTTATCTCTGCAATCTCTCCAGGAAGGCAGTATTGCTTTTGGTTTCTATTTTCCTGGGTAGAGGCAGCTCTACTGGCTATTTGGCCTTTCTCACCATAATAGTCATCACTCCACAGGTCAGAGGAAGAACATGGGGAATCTGCCTGCTGCTGATTGTATCTGTTCCAATTATGTATCCAGAACTGGGGAAAACACCACAGGATGGGTTTGGGAGCCCAGTGGGCCCACTGTGAGTGGGACCTGAGCTAAAACTCTATTCATCACCTGACCTCCACAAGCCCCTTCTCCAACGGATGGCCACAGAGATGTTCTGGGTCTCCTGGAATTAGTATCAGTTCAGAGCCAGCATCCAGCTGCCCCTGCAAAGT